ATTGTTTGATACAATTCAAGCACCGAGTGTTGGTGATGAATAACTCCTTTGCCGTTGTGGTGTAAGACCTGAGTGCCTTCATTCCTTGAGGTGATATTGAACAGATCAATAAGAAGCCAGGACTCCTGGCACATTTGCATATCCAGCATCCGCAACATAAAAGTGGTCTGAGAGAAGGAAAAAACAAGTCAAACATATGAACAATAATTGATAAGATGAGTCACATACCTTACGGGAACAACAAAACGGCCATCTTTGAGTGCTTGATGAAGGACTCAAGCATCTGCATAAGAGCCTTCTAATCCTGCATACACAAAGGTAAATAGCATGTTGAAAGAACAACCTGCTAATACATTTTGGCTAATATCACCTTTTTGGTTTTGATGTGCTGGTTTACAATCCGCAGGGACAATGCAAGTGATGTGGGTGCCATCAATAGCACCCACACAATTCTTGAAATAAGGAGTCATCCTTGTATTTGTCTGTATCTCTTTTGGACAAAGGACATTTGCAATAGGCTGGACAATCTAGATGGATTGAAGAGAGGTGATGGCGTTGAGAACATCATTGGAATACCGGCTGATAAAAAATTTACCAAATGTGATTTCTGGTCAGAAATTCCTTAAGTGAATGCGCCCTAAGTGAATGCACCCTTAGAGATGCACATTTATGCTCAAAACAAAGTTGCTGACTCATCTGACAGAGAAGAACTCAATCAAGAACTTGTCAAACACATCTTTTGCTCTGTCTTTACTCAAAAGTGTCCACCAGAATCTACTCTCAGTCTTGGAAAGCAGAAAACAAAAACGGGAGTGCTCTTGAAAAGGATACAAGAAGCCTGGTTCTCAACTTGGACGCGCCAAGGGTAAACCTGATATAGAGTTGAAACAAACCAGATTCAGCCGCAAGAAAAGAAGAGAAGCAGCACTTGGAAAGAATAACTTCTGCATGTCCAACTGGATGAAACAAGCAAAAGCCAAAGCCTCTACCCCACCGGCCTCAACTCATTCTGATAGTTTCAATGACCTTGAAGATGAAAAGACTCTAATCAAGATCTCTACCAATGATGACACTCATTCTGATTTGATCACTCCACCAAGACCTTTTGACCCTGATCTTGCTCCAGCACAGGACTTATTGAGTGACCCATGTGTTGATCAATATTTCGATTCACGGACTTTTATCTCAGAACCTGAAAAATTCAAGAACAGCACTCCAGAATATTTCAGAATTAAAATCAGCCATCAATTATGTTTCAAGAAACTAGAGAAGGATCCAAAATTCAATCAAATCATCAGTGATGTTCATGAATACAACAACAGACAACTTGAGTTTCAAATGAATGGTTCACCTTCTCCAGCTGTCACCACTTTGTTTCTCACATCATCTTCATCTATTTGCCGCAACCATTCAAATTCAAACCGCCCTAAAGCCACAATTGGAGTTAGTCAAGCAAAGACAATCCACAAACAAGCCTTTCACCTCATCAAGTTCACAGAGTTAAAAATCAGCCATCGCAGCCATCAACACAGTGTCATTTTACTAGGCACTGGCAGGCCAGTGAGCACCATCACCTCAAGCCAATCTCAAGCCAATCTCCAAACAATTTCAAAACAATTTCAAAGCAATTTCAAAACAATATCAAAACAATAGCAAGCCAACATCAATGTTTGGCCTGTAGTAACAGCCAAACAATCATCCATACTGACCTTTAATAAAGTTGATCTGCATGTCCACACATGAAATTGTTGGAATATCTGGAAGGTTTGAGTGATTGTCAGATAAAACCCAATTATGATGACCAAATGTCCTTCTGAGCGCCTTCCAAAGACTTTTCCTGGAAAACAGAAGTCGACAGCTCTTGATTATATATAGACTTTTCATGACTCTTTGTTGGCAAGGGGGTTCTTAGATACTTATAGATCTCACCATTATAAGAGATAAATGGAAATAGTAAAAGGCAATAAATGGTGATAAGGTGGTTGTTTTCTGGTTTGAGATGTTGATACATCAATTTATAATTTTTTTTATAGAATTTGAAGTTATACAAATTCATTCAAGGCATTTTGTTGTTATTTGAAAATAAGTTTTTCATATTTTTGGATACGTTTTTGGTCCTCTTGATGGGGGGCGGATGTGGTTTTTTACTTTGGAAGATAGAGATTTGAAAGTATGGTTGGTGACAGCAAGAAGCATGAAACACAGCCTTGGTATTTTGCAATTACACGACAAAAAAGCCAAACACATCAGTCTTGCAGAAGCTGAGGAAAGACAAGACTTTTGAAATGTATTTGACCGAGGATAGTTTCAAACAGACCTCAACAAGACGGCAACAAAATCATCTTGATTGGTTATTTAAATGATGTCTGTGACTTGTGGAACCAGTTTGCAAAAATACCCAATGAAGTTTTGACCAGGTACTTTTCTCATATCCCCAAATCCATTGCCGGACGGGGCAGCCAATTCACGGCTTGGAGGGTGTATCTGACTATCATTGACAACACATTAACAAGAAATGTACTCTACATACAAATTGTCAACCCAGACACAAAATCAACAGCAAAGCGTCCACTCATGGCACTAATGCTCATCGCAAACATAGCCACTAATCAGACAAAGAGGACAAGCAGGATCAAATTGATGGAAACACTAACAAACAATCAAACACAACCCAATCAACTTACACAGATCCAAAGAACAGATTGTTCAATAATTTAAAAAGTTCACATAACTCACTTCCAACTACCAGGATTTTAGGATCATCTAACTCTATAGCTTCTTTACCTGTTTGATCAAAATGTTTCAAACTATTATCTTCAGATGAAACAATTGATAAGCAACAATCATAACCACCACAAGATTTACATCCTACAAAATTATGATTGGTCTTTTGGATTTTACATATATCACCAGATAAAAATTTGTATCATGGGTATAATGGCTCTTGTGAGAAAGAGATGACTGATAGGTCATTCTTGATGACTACTCTTAGGTACAAGGGTACCAGTGATCTACCACTCAAGGAAATCAGTGTTTATTACGTTAGTCACACTGTGCTCTATTGTCTGGTCACCAATCCAGATGTTTCTCTCTCTTTTCTTGATTGATTGAATGATCTTTCAACTTGTTGAATTTGTTCACGTCTTTAAAATGAGGTCGCTGGTAACAAGTATATACCACATGCCGTTTTGATCAATCTTGGACCGGTAACAATGGATTCTGTTTGATCAGGTCCTTTTGGTTCCGTATTAGAAAAGATGAAGACTTAATGACTGTTTGGCATAGGAATGGAGATAATCCATCAAATGGTGATGGTAAGATAGCTAGAAAAGTCAAGTTCAGTGAAAACCCCCCCTTCCTTACAAAAGCCTTCAAACTTTTACTGATTTGTTTTCTCTTGGATTGGATTTGATTGTGGAAAAAAATCAGGTTGGCCATTCAAACTCTTTGGAAATTACCATGAAATTGACATTTAGTTTTTAAATTAGATGCAGATACTTCAGGCAAATTAGTACAAGAATCAGTTGGTACAATAACATATATGTGGGCAAACCTTGAAATTTCTGATTGATTGGTGACGACGGGACTAGGAATAAATCCTGTCCATGTCACAGACAGGAAAGATCCCGCGTGATTTGACACATCAGAGATCACGCGGACACCACTCTGAGCTGCTCACGTCAGTTCTCACCCGCCGGTCAAGATCTGCCCTGAGATCCTCTTCAGGCATGGCGATGAGAAGTTACTGTGAGCTTTCCTCCCCTCCTCGGACAAGAAGTAACTAAGCTTCTTTCTTCGTTCACTGCTCCTCCAGCCTCATTCTCACTGTCCCTCTCCTGCCTCCGAGGTGATCTCTTTCCACGGGTAATCCACCTCTTTTTCGAACATACCTTTTTCAAAACCTTCAATCATGAGATCCAGCCGAAGAAATCAAAACCTACCTCCTGAATTTTCACCAGAGCCTGCACCTCAACCATCAGACGAAGAAAGAAGTTTTGAAATCAAAACAGAAGAAGAAGAGAGAATAATAATTGAGAGAGAAGATGCTCTGGAAGATATAAGACTGAACAAATCAAAGAAGAGTAAGAGCAATGACCAAAATCAAACATTTGAAGATGAACAAGAAATTTCAAATGACAACTTAAACTTCAAAACCATCAAAAACAATATAGAAGATGAATCAATGTTTAGTGATGGAAAAGAAAGCGACTCAGACTCATCAGTAGAAGAAAGAGAAATCAATAAGTTGAGTAAGTTTCTATCATGTCGATATTACGATCTTCCTCAAAATCTTTTCCTTTGTCCGTTCATCACATATAAAATTGGTCAAACAATTAATGATATCATCAAGATAATCCCATTGCTCTTCTACGTATAGAATGTGAGCTGAATATGAGGCGTCATATGTTTAATCCATTGCTCTTCCAAAAGGAATGAGAGCTAGAAACCGCTGCTCTTCATATGAATGTGAGCTACTGTAATCTAAAACCATTGCTCTTCTTAGAATGCAAGCTAATCAAGTTGTTTAATTGTTTTAAAAACAAATATTTCACTAGATATTGCTAAGATGGCTTTAGCAATGGGTAATACGAAAATAGTCAAACAGTTTCTAAAGTCACTAGACAAGGAGAAAGTGAAGAAAAAGTTACCATCTGAAAGCAACATTGATTCTGTTTACAATAACAGTGGGAAAGTATCAAACTCTGGACTTCGAGGTTTCAGCAAATACTGGAATGAACATCTAGCGAAATTAGATTTAACTTTCAAGTTAACTATATTTAATGATAGATGGATCAAATTAGATCACATGGTAGAAGGTAGCAACGTGTTGAAGAAGAAAGACAAACCTTCAGGTTTGATACCAAAAAGTGAATGGTGGATGACGTACGCAGACTGGACTCGAGCAAAAACTCTCATGTTAAAATACTTAAGGCAAACTTATTTTCATATAAAATTTGCGAACGAGTAAGTTAGATCTCTTGATAAAGATAAAATTGTATATCTGTCTGATATAAAAGTGTTTCTGGTCATAAAGTCTTGAAAAGCACTTTGATTACGTCGAAAATCTCAGTCTACGACACGGTTGGATTACAGCGTTCCAATACAATGTATTAGTAAGGACTGATGTGATGTGCAACAGAGTAGATGGCGCACCTGGTGATCCCAAAATACTGAGAGATTTATTCTTAGAAGAAGCTAGAGCAAGAACTGATTTATTAAGAGATGGAAGATTAATTCTATTAGATAATCCTTATGCTAAAGGAAATTTACGTGAAAGGTTTAATCCAGTAACTGGTAGACAATATCTTGAAGGAGTAAATCACGATTCAGCCAAAAGTGTAGTAGACAAAGCTGATGATCATAACAAAAGCAAATTCATTCACCAAAACCAAAACACTTACTCAAACAACAACTTCCTCAAACCTCCACAGCTTCATAAGAATGATTCTTTTAGAAGAAACAACAATTTCCAACAAACTTATCAAAACAACAGAAGAAATAACAGAAACAAGTCTTTTACACGTGATAGGTCAACATCTCCTTATGAAAGAAATGATGTGAAAGGAAAGTTTGTAGCGAACAATAAAGGGAAGCAGGTAGATAGATCTCAGGTGTACAGAGACAAGGAACCTAAGCAATCTACATCGAAGGAAAAGATATTGTGAGCTATACATTGTTGTTGCACGTTGTTTCCTTCCATTTTTATGAGTTTGTATTACTAGTCAAAGTTATAGATAAACCGCATTGTTAAGATAGAAGTTCATTCAACCATTGTGTTGAATGAACTGTTGAACATTGAAATGAATTGTTCGTTATGTTTGATACAGTGCAATAGAACCTTTGAATGTGATTACAAAGTCAAAATTGAGCCCTTTGAGAGCGATTATACCATCCAATCCAATTAAGAGTCAAGATACAGGTTGGCCATTGGTAGTGAAATGCAACATGAAGATAACCGTTTGGAGACAACAGTTAGAAAAGTTTGATTTGATGGATGAATATGGTTATTTGCTAGATGGATTCGTAGAAGGATTCCATCAGGGAATTCCGACACATAAACTCAAAGATTGGGACTTCTATTGCCCCCGAATCATAACTCAGCTCAAAACGCCAGGAAAAAGATAGAGGACAACATCTTGAAAGAAGTCAAGGCTGGAAGAATGTGCGGCCCGTTTAGCAAAAACGAAGTATACAAGAATTTGGGTTTCTTTAGGACAAATCCTCTCCACGATATGTCCTATCCAAGATTTAATCCGGATATCCCTTCCGTAAATTCGTTTGTAAATAAAGAAGAATTCGAGACGACCTGGAATGACTTTAAATTGGTAGCTTTATTTATTAGAAGATTAAAAGAAGACATTCAAATGGGTATATTTGATTGGGAAGGTGCTTACAGGCAGATTCCCACACATCCGTCACAATGGCCTTACCTTGCTATAATGGACTTCGATTATATGATTGATATTGACCTCATGATTGCTGCGGATCATTCGGAGGACCTGCAGACGGCTGGAAAGAGATAATGAAACAAGCTTCCAAATTAATGGAGGTCTTTAGGTGGGTGGATGACAACTTGATGATAAAGTTGAAATCTGACCCTACAACAATGGTACAGATAGTAGAAGCTAGCAAAGCCTTGGGTGTTAAGACAAATGTAACCAAATATGCAGAGTTCGCAGATGAACAAAAGTTCATAGGATTCATATGGAATTGCGTACTGAAGATGGTCAGATTGCCTGACAAGAAGTTGCTGAAACGAAAGAATGATATCGATGAGTTCCTATTGAAATTAACAATAACAAAAAAGGAGATGCAGCGCTTCAATGGGAAATTGAGTCACTTAACACTTATTCTTCCTCAACTAAAATGCTATCTAGTAGAAGGATTTAGTTTTGTAGTGGCTTGGAAATCGCCAGGTCGAAGGACAATTCCTAATGATGTCAGGGAAGATGTGTTGTATTGGAAAAAGTATTTAGATAACTAGAATCCGACGAAAATTGTACCAGATCACATAATCAAGAATGTTGGCTGGGTGGGCAACACTTCATCGGAATTTGGAATTGGAATTATCATTGGTAAGGCCTGGTCGCAATTTCAATGGCTTCCGGACTGGGACCTACCAAAAGATTGACCTCGACGTACGATTGCTTGGGCAGAAACCGTTGCGGTTTGCCTTGGCATATTAATGCTAAGAGAGTTAAAACTGGACTCTGGACTGGCTGGTTTCAAGTTCTCTTGCCTGACTGATAATACTACGGCTGAAGGTGCAGCCAGAAATCAAAAATCGCGTGACTTTTGGGTAAATCGCAAGTGGCAAATTGTACAAGACTTGTTGGTCGAACTAGACTGCGATATTAACTTGGTTTGGGTAACATCGGCAGACAATGAAGCAGACAAACTGTCTCGCGGCCTTGATCCTTCAAAAGGCCACCATAATTTAGTGAAAATAGACATCCCCAACGGCCTCAAAACTTTACTCATCCAGGTTTTCCCAACACCTAAGGCTACTCTACAATGAATGCTGCTGAACAAACACTGTGTATGTCCAACCCCTCTGTTATCAGACCACTGGACGACGCCGGGGAAGTTATGTTACGTCACGGCTGGGCCCCCTCGACGATACGCCAATATGCAGCGGCGGTTAACAAATATTTCCGCTTTTCACGCTCGACTCAAAATCCCTTCCCGGCAAACGCTATAAACATTTATAAATTTATCCTTTGGTGCGGCAACCCTGAAAACGCAGACTCGGTAGTGAATGAAACAGCAAAAAGGTACTTGACAGGATTGCGAATGTGGCACTGTCTTCACAACGTGCAATTCCCGACGCTGGACAAAGACCGACTTCGAATTCTACTAAAGGCTACCAAGAAGTGCGAACTGACAGTGTCAAAATCTCATAGAAGTGGACTGACCTTGCGGGACCTCGATTATCTCGTAACTTGTTTAAAAGGAAACTCCTTGCCAAACATCACCTTGCGCGCCCTCTTCTTAGTTGCCTTCTGGGGTCTAGCTCGCTTGGGCGAACTGACCTTGCATTGTGATCACCTGAAAATCTTTGTTCGCAGACGCAACATACGTTTCTCAGCGGACGGTTCTTGTGCTACGATTCGTATCCGGATGGCCAAAACGGTGTTACCCGGAGAAATACAACTTCTACACCTCCAAAGACAACCAAATCATTTGGATCCAATCTCAGCCTTGAAGCACCTACTGACTAACACAA